GTGCAGCCAGCAGCAACAGCCTGGTTGATCAGGGGGCCCTGGTCACAGCCCGGGGCCGCGGGGGCTTTGACCCCCGGAACTCTCTCCAGGTAAACTCCAGGTAAACCCTTCTGGCAAGACAGTGATGGAGTGAATGATGGTGAAAGCTTTTCTTTTTCGGGCCACCCTGCCTTGGTGGGAATTGGCCAGTGTGTTAATATAAAATACAGTGGACCCTCGACCAACGATGGCATCGATTAACGATAAATCCGACTAGCGATACATTTTAACGCAAAAATTTTGCCTCGACTAGCGCTAAAAAAACCCGACCAACACTATTCGTTCCGTTCGAGACGCGTCCACTTTGGCCTGAGCGTGCCTCACTTGTCCCATGGGTGCCAGTGTTTACAAGCCAGCCAGCCACCGCTGTCGCTTGTAAACATACAATTGGAACATTTCATATTATCACCTGCAAAAATTGTCACCATGGGCCCCAAGAAAGCTTCTAGTGGAAACCCTACAGCAAAAAGGGTGAGAATTACTATGGAGATGAAGAAAGAGATCATTGCTAAGTATGAAAGTGGAGTGCTTGTCTCCGAGCTGGTCAGGTTGTATAGTAAACCCCAATCAACCATCGCTACTATTGTGGCCAAGAAAACGGCAATCAAGGAAGCTGTTCTTGCCAAAGGTGCAACTATTTTTTCGAAACTGAGATCGCAAGTGATAGAAGATGTTGAGAGACTCTTATTGGTGGTATAAACGGAAAAAAAAGATAGCAGGAGATAGCATTCCTTTAAGCAATCATATGTGAAAAGGCTAGGAAGTTGCATGACGATTTAATTAAAAAAATGCCCGCAACTAGTGGTGATGTGAGTGAATTCGAGGCCAGCAAAGGTTGGTTTGAGAGATTTAAGAAGCGTTGTGGCATTCATAGTGTGATAAGGCTGGTGAGGCTGCCAGTTCGGACCACAAAGCGGCTGAAAAATTATGTGCAGGGAAATTTAAGGAGTACATAGACAGTGAAGGACTGAAACCGGGAAAAAGTGTTTAATTGTGACAAAACAGGCCTGTTTTGGAAGAAAAAAGCCCAAACAGGAAAATACATTACTCAGGAGGGAAAAGGCACTCCCAGGACATAAGCCTATGAAAGACAGGCCTACTCTGTTGATGTGTGCCAATGCTAGTGGTGATTGCAAAGTGAAGCCTTTATTTTGGTGTATCACTCTGAAACTCCCAGAGTGTTCAGGAAAAACAATGTCTCAAGGCAATTTGTGTGTGATGTGGGGGCAAACAGTAAGGGATGGGTCACTAGGGACCTTTTCTATGACTGGTTAACACCATGCATTTGCCCCCACTGTGAAAAATTACCTAATTTAAAAGAAATTAGACCTTTAAATGCCTCCTGGTATTAAACAATGCTCCTGGTCATCCTTCAGGGCTTGTCAGAGCGACTTTCTAGGGACATGAGCTTCATTAAGGTAAAGTTTTTGCCTCCTATTACCACTCCTCTCCTGCACTCATGGACCAGCAGGGGCATTTCCAACTTCAAGAAACTGTACACAAAAGCTATGTTTGAAAGGTGCTTTGTAGTGACCCCAGAAACTCAACTGACTCTAAGAGAGTTTTGGAAAGATCACTTTACCATCCTCAATTGTGTAAAAAAATTATAGGTAAGGCTTGGGGGGAAGTGGGCTAAGAGGACCCTTTAACTCTGCTTGGAAAAAACTGTGGCCAGAATGTGCAGACAAAAGGGATTTTGAAGGGTTTGAGGCTAACCCTGAGAATCCTATGCCAGTTGAGGAATCCATTGTGGCATTGGGAAAGTCCTTGGGGTTAGAGGTTAGTGGGGGGATGTGGAAGAGTTGGTGGAGGGAGGACAATGAAGAACTAACCATGATGGCTGCTAGATCATCATCATCAGCATGAGGCCACATCTGAGGAAACTGCTTCGGAGGAGGGGAGAGAGAAATTGAAGAAGTTGCCTACTTCTAAGAAATTTAAAGGGAAAACTGTGCAATGTAGCTTAAAGTGCAAACCTTTATGGATGAAAGTCACCCTGACACAGCTACTGCAAGCCGTGTTGGCAACCTGTACATTGACAATGTTGTGAAACACTTTAGAAATGACATAAAGGAACAGGAGGTACAGGCCTCTATGGACAGATATGTTGTGCGACAGAAGTCCAGTGACTCTGAAGTGGTTTCCCAGTGGCATTAAAAGAACAAGGGAAGTAACCCGGAAAAGACTTGCTACCTCAAGTGCTAATGGAAGGGGATTCCCCTTCTAAACACTAAGAAGATCAACACTCTCCGCTCCTCCCATCCCATCAATCATCACCAGATCTTCAATAAAGGTAAGTGTCATGTAACTGTGCATATCTTCTTCAATTTGTGTGTATTAAAATCAATATTTCATGTGGTAAAAATTTTTTTTTTCAATACTTTGGGGTGTCAGGAACGGATTAATTTGATTTCCATTATTTCTTATGGGTAAAATTAACTCGACTAACAATAATTTTGATTAACGATGAGCTCTCAGGAACGGATTAATATCGCTGGTCGAGGGTCCACTGTATGTAATATGGTAAATATGAGAAAATTAAAACTTCATCAGAGTACAAAACAAATTCCAACCACAAAATAGAGTGAAAAACCAACGTCAAAGACCTGGGAGTGATAATGTCGGAGGATCTCACCTTCAAAGACCATAACATTGTATCAATCGCAGCTGCTAGAAAAATGACAGGATGGATAATGAGAACCTTCAAAACTAGGGATGCCAAGCCCATGATGACACTTCAGGTCGCTTGTTCTATCTAGGCTGGAATACTGCTGCGCACTAACAGCACCTTTCAAGGCAGGTGAAATTGCTGACCTAGAAAATGTACAGAGAACCTTCACGGCACGCATAACGGAGATAAAATGCCTCAATTACTGAGAGCGCTTGAAGTTCCTGAACCTGTATTCCCTGGAATGCAGGTGGGAGAGATACATGATTATATACACCTGGAAAATCCTAGAGGGACTAGTACCGAACTTGCACACGAAAATCACTCACAACGAAAGCAAACGACTTGGCAGACAATGTAACATTTCCCCAATGAAAAGCAGGGGTGTCACTAGCACGTTAAGAGACAATACAATAAGTGTCAGGGGCCTGAGACTGCTCAGCTGCCTCCTAGCATACTTAAGGGGGATTACCAATAGACCCCTGGCATTCTTCAAGCTGGCACTGGAGTTAGTTTAATATGTTTATTATGCACCCCATACCCATCCTGTGGGCGGTAGTCAAAAGATTACAGAGGTACATAATTGGTCCAGGGACTGGGCCTCAAAGTTTTGATAGCTGAGCAAGTTACAGAGGTAATGAATTCACATTTTACAAAGGTAATGAACTCACAATTTACAAAGGTAATGAACTCCAGGTAGGTCTAGTCACAATCATGACAAGTTACAAAGGTATTTACAGATTACAGAGGTACACAATGGGTCCAGGGACCGGCCTCCAAAGTTTTGATGGCTGAACTAGGTACAAGGTAATGAACTCACAAGTTACAAAGGTAATGAACTCACAAGTTACAAAGGTAATGGACAAGCACCTAAAGTCGGTACCTGACCAGCCGGGCTGTGGCTTGTACGTTGGATTGCGTGCAGCCAGCAGTAACAGCCTGGTTGATCAGTCTCTGATCCACCAGGAGGCCTGGTTACAGACCGGGCCATGGGGGCGTTGACTCCCGGAACTCTCTCCAGCTAAACTCCAGGTATCCCACCGAGGCAGGGTGGCCCAAAAGGAAAAACAAAAGCTTCTCCTTTTAAATTTAGTAATATATACAGGAAAAGGGGTTACTAGCCCCTTGCTCCAAGCATGTTAGTCGCCTCTTACGACACGCATGGGTAACTTACGGAGGAAGAATTCTGTTCCACTTCTCCATGGAGATAAGTGAAAATAAACAAGGACTAGCAAGAAAATAGAAGAAAACCCAGAGGGGTGTGTGTGTATATTTATATGCTTGTACATGCATGTGTAGTGTGGCCTAAGTATAAGTAGAAGTAGCAAGATATACCTGAAATCTTGCATGTTTAGTTTTTTTAGTTTAATATCTTTATTATGCACCCCATACCCATCCTGAGGGTGGTAATCAAAAGATTACAGAGGTACATAATGGGTCCAGCGATTGGGCCCCAAAGTTTTGGTACCTGAGCAAGTTACAAAGGTAATGAACTCCAGGTAGATCTGGTCACAATCATGACAAGTTACAAAGGTATTATGTTTATGAGACAGGAAAAACAACACCAGCAATCCTACCATCATGTAAAACAATTACAGGCGGCCTCTGTTTTACACTCGCTTGCAGGACGGTAGTACCTTCCTGGGTGGTAGATGAATGGTTCAGAGAACCGACACGTTGATAAATTAGACACGTGTCTAATTTATCAATGTGTCGGTTCTCTGAACCATTCATCTACAATCCTGTCAGACACTGCAACTTCTTGGGATCTTAATACTTGGGAATTCTTCGCTTGCCTAACCCTTGGGCACAACCTACTTCCACATTGGACAAATGTGACACCACCTACGACTGCTGCACCTTTCCTGCCTACGGTTTATAAGCTCCTTCTCCACACTTATGCCGTATTCTATTCAAGATTGATGGACTGACCACGTCGACTCAAGGTTGAGGGACTGATTACCTCATTCTCCTCCTGTTCTTCAAGTTTCTCCTTTGTATGGACTGATGAAGCCACTGTGTGGTGAAGCGTTTCCTCAATAAAGATACCCAAGAGTTGCACATGTGTCTAATTTATCACCTTCCTGGGTGGTTGCTGTCTATCAGCCTACTACCTAGAAACTTGCTTACCAATCTCTCTTAATAAAAATTCAACTCGTCTTACTCCACCCTACTATTCTTGTCATATTAAAAAAGTTGGGTATAGTCTATAACAGCTGTGTAGATTTACCACTGTGACAAACTTGTCATCAGTTATGAGGGTGATTCTACCTTGTAGTCTGTCCTTTGGCAGGGTTTCCATGTTGCTTTCCTGTTCAACCAGGCTGCTTTTGTTAGCAGCTTGATGGACCATATATCCATCACAGCCTGGTTGATCTGGCACATGACAGGGGTAGTAGTCCAGCTTCTTCTTGAAGACTTCGACTCTTGTTCTACCAGTTCCAGGCTACAAAGCCTATCCCTAATTCGACAGTACATCCCAACAATGGCCCTTCTGTGTCATTACAGTAATGGTAAACATTACCGTGAAAGCAAGATATTAGACACACGTGCATCACCTGGGTATTCTGCCAACCAATGGCTTTATCAGTTCAATGCAAAAATATTTGTGGGTATTGAAAATGGAGACAGGAGGAGACTGCATAATCAGTTCCTCAGTCTTGCAGAACTCTACACAGAAGACAGTGGAAGATTAGGTAATCAGTCCCTCAACCTTGCAGAACTATACACACAAGAAATTTCAAGATGAGGTAATGAGTCCTTCTCAACCTGGTACTACATACTGACTTCTAGGTTGAGGGACTGATTACCTCATCTTCCACTGTCTTCTGTGTATACTTCTGCACAGTTGAGGAACTGATTACCTCATCTTGCACTCTCTCCAGTTTTAATACCTGTATATCCAGGTGTTGCACATTAATCTAATTTCTCACATTTTGTAATATGCCATTTCTACCTACCAGTGCAGATCTTGAAAGTGTTATTATCCTTTCCTCTTTCTGACTACCATCAAACTTTGATTTTCTGTTTCTCATATTACCCCTTCATTCTTGATTCCATAATTTTAATAATGAAATATAGCTGTGAATGCTACCTAATCTCTCAGGTGTTTAAGTACCTATTTGTTTGGCATATGTTCTCTTGTTCCATTCTTGATGAACTAGACATGTGTAGAACACCTGGGTATTTTATTACCAAAACATTTCGTCTGCACATCAGTCTTCAATTGAATAGTCAAGTAAAACACCGGGGACAGTAGAAATAGTTCTGATGTGATCTCTCCATCACCCTTGGTAGGAGGTGTTCAGTCCTTTGGGCAGGGTGGCCCAAAAGGATAAACGAAAGTTTCTCCTTTTACATTTAGTAATATATACAGGAGAAGGGGTTACTAGCCCCTTGCTCCTGGCATTTTAGTCGCCTCTTACAACACGCATGGCTTACGGAGGAAGAATTTTGTTCCACTTCCCCATGGAAGAAAACCCAGAGCCGTGTGTATATATATATGCTTGTACATGTATGTGTTGTGTGACCTAAGTGTAAGTAGAAGTAGCAAGACGTACCTGAAATCTTGCATGTGTATGAGACAAAAAAAAGACACCAGCAATCCTACCATCATGTAAAATAATTACAGGCTTCCGTTTTACACTCACTTGGCAGGATGGTAGTACCTCCCTGGGCAGTTGCTGTCTACCAGCCTACTACCTAGGTTCAGTCCTATTATTACATTAATTATTAACACATCAGCCATTTCCCACCAAGGCAGGGTGGCCCGAAGAAGAAAAACTTTCATCATCACTCACTCCATCTCTGTCTTGCCAGAGGCATGCTTACACTACAGTTATAAAACTGCAACATTAACACCCTTCCTTCAGAGTGCTGGCACTGTACTTCCCATCTCCAGGAATCAAGTCCTCTTAGTAGTAAAGATTCCCAAGTGTTGCACATGTATCTTATTCATCAACTTGTCAGTATTGCATATCATCAATAATATCACATCTCATCACTGTGTGTGATACCATACAATGGTGCCATACACAATAATAAATATGTTAAATAGTGTCACCAACTCATTTTTCTGAAGATAATATTCTCTCTCACATTGAAAATTTAACCAGTATTATTTTTCATTCATTATTTGCTTTATAAGAGCAGTGTTGGTAGAATGCTTCTCAATATATGTACTTGCTTAGCAGGACTTGGAAACTGGAGTTGAGGAAGCTGATGCACCAACTCTATGACAGTGAACTCTCTCCTTGTGGCGAATGGTGTGACGTCGCGTTCCAGAGGACGCAATGCCATCTATCCATGTGTAGGTGGAATATAGTTTAATCTATGTTTATGCTGAACTTTTATTTTTTAATATAATGAGGCAATGGCAACATTATTCTATAATGTTAGAATATACAGTCAGTATATACACAAGACACAATGTACAGGTTATGGCAATTTATTAATAAAAATGATAAGTCTCTATTGGACAAAATGTCTTTGTTAATAAAATATCATAACCTACACTTTATGTTCAACAGTATGCACTATACTTAATAATGTGGTTAATGAGACCAGCCATGACTTACAGGAGGGCCTCACTTATATAGCAGGTTAGGTTCTGGGCTACTTCTGTAAAGCAAAAATCGCTGTAAAGTGAATCGTAGCTTTTTTTCAATTTCAAATGCATATAAAAACCTGATAATGCATTTACACTATCATATATGAAGTGAGCAAAAGAGTTAGGCCTAAAAAATGCATATACAATACACACATTACTTCTTTCTTTCTTTCAACATACCAGCCATATCCCACCGAGGCGGGGTGGCCCAAAAGAAAAAACTAAAGTTTCTCTTTTTAAATTTAGTAATATATACAGGAGAAGGGGTTACTAGCCCCTTGCTCCCTGGCATTTTAGTCGCCTCTTACAACACGCATGGCTTACGGAGGAAGAATTCTGTTCCACTTCCCCATGGAGGACACATTACTTGCCTTAAAATATTTTCATCCTTATATTGAGTGATGAATACATTTATTTTAAGAAGTCTGAATACATTGCAAGTGATAGGCCTAAAGAGGCAGGTGCCAGAAGTCGCCAGAAACTTACCGCACAGGTCAGCTGTTCTAATAATCTTTCTGGCCTGCTAGTGTACCTCGCATATAATCTAGTGATACCAGTGAATAGGAGAATTCATTATTGTAGTAGCAACTAACCAGTAATATAATGGTACTTAGTGGAATGGAGTGACTTTCATTAGTTTTTTCTCCATTCTTGAAATACCAGACGTATACAGTGAAATTCATATAACCTGTAGTTACCAGCGGTCGCAATATACACAACGAAAAGCAAATATTACTCCAGAAAAAGCGTCTTTCCTCCAATAATTTCGCCAGTCAACTGTAGTGATAATATAGCATTTGTTTTGGTGGAGACGGAAAAAACCTAGAAAAGCTAGATACAGTGATCGATAAACCTTCAGGCTGTAAACAAGGGTTGAGGCCTCGACCGTTTGTCATTGTAGGAGCTGCCAGCAGTCACCGGTTCTTCAGCATGCAAGTTATACTTTTGTATCAATCTAATCACATATTACTCGGTTAAATAATTTCCAGTAGTTCCTTTATGTGATAGCCCAAATCACCGACCAGATATGTTTTAAATAAGTAACCCACTGATCAGATCCGACTGGTTCTGAGCCCTTGGCTGGTCCGAACCCTTGACCGGTTTCATACGGATTTGTTGGACAATAAAGCAGACTGTAAACAGACGGGGTTTTAGGCGCCCTTATCAAACACAAACAATAAATATAAAACAGAAGCGTACACCGGTAAGCTGTCCTAATATACAAGTACAGTTAGAAATAGGGGTGTTAATGTTGCAGTTTAAAAACTGTAGTGTAATCACCCTTCTGGCAAGACAGTGATGGAGTGAATGATGGTGAAAGTTTTTCTTTTTCGGGCCACCCTGCCTTGGTGGGAATCGGCCAGTGTGATAATAAAATAAAAAAATAAAATAGTTAGAAATAGAAATACAAATAGCCAGATCTTCACTTTAAGGAGGTTATTAGTAGAATATTCAAGGGGTTACTAGAAGAATTACAGTAAATCGACCATTCAAATCACATTATGAAGCACTGTGTAGTCTGCAGTAAATCAAACAAATGGGCTTCCACGTGGATTACTTGCCATTTTTGTGAAAATTGGTGTCACGCCCCTTGTGTAGATATCCAAGAACTATCTACAAGCAGTATTAAATCAGGGAAGTGTTTTTGGGTATGCCCAAATGAGATCAATCTGTGGACTAAAATCACATTGGTATTAAAAGAGGATAACATCAAAGCAGCCTTCATAGAAAACCTGGAAACATTCTATAACAGATGGGAAAATAAAAAGTCTGGGCTGGATGGTATCGCCCTTGATGCTGGCCATGTAGTCAGAAACTGTAAGGCTGGAGGTGCTGCCCTGGTAGACAGTAAATGTGGGGCTGGAAGTACTGTCCTGGAAGACAGTAATGGTGAAGTTGGAGGTGCTGTCCAGGTAGTCAGTAAATGTACACATGAGGGAAAGCATATAAATGACCTCGAGGGAGACAGGAGCTGTAGTGGGGAAACAAGTGTAGTCAAGGACAAGATAAAACCAATTAAGGGTGATGGACTGATTACATCGTCTTAAAGTCTCTTCTGCTTCTATCAACTTTTCTGTACTCGACTGAAGAAGCCTACTGTGTAGGCGAAACGTTTCAAAATAAAGATACCTAACTGTTGCATATGTGTCTTACCTAACAAAACCAATATTACAAACTAGTAATACCACAGGAGATAGCAAACAAGGGGACTCCACTAGCAATAGTGAGGATATATTAGCAGAAACAACTGGTGAGAGCTCCATTGTTAGTACTAGTGAGGATAGGAATGAGACAGGTAAACATGCACCAACAGGGAATACAGTCACAGAAACCCAAGGCAAATGGAAACCAAGCCTGTGCACATACTATGCACTTGGTATCTGCAGACATGGGAAATCTGGAAAAACAGACGGGACGTGCAACTATGACCACCCTAGAAAATGCCGTGCCCATATGACAACAGGAAAATGCAAACTCCCTGTAAGCTTTTTCACCCTGAAATGTGTCCCTCTTCAGTACAGGAAAGACTGTGCTATAACTTAAATTGCCAGGCATACCATCTAAAGGGGACAAAAAGATACAAAACATCCAGGCCATGGGAAAACCTGGGTAGCCACAGCCACTCAAGAGGGAGAGGTTTTTTAGTGCCAGGAAGAAAAAAAAAACTGGCAGGAAATGGCAGAAATCGTATACCAAATCCAGTCATTTCTGGAGTGGAACCACAGTCAATGGCCTCCACTCCAAACTAACAGATACAGATACTAGTGCCGGAAAAAAAGTCCCTCCCAGTACCACCAATACCACCAGTCCAATGACATTCTTCTTTGCAAATATACAGGGTCTAAAGCCAGCAACGAACAACAAAATACCTTTCATCCGTGGACTGCTTGCAGAGGCAAATGCAATGTTCGCGGCTTTCACAGAGACCCACATAAAGGATCACTTGGACAACAAATTATGGATCCCAGGTTAGAACCTATACAGATGTGACAGAGTGAACAGGCAAAAGGGAGGGGGGTTGGCCTGTATCGCAGAGTCACTTGTTTGCACAGAACTGCTTAATGCCTCAAATGATGTAGTGGAAGTTTTAGCAGTAAAGATTGAGAACCAAAACCTAGTCATTGTGGTAGTCTATAAGCCTCCGGATTCCGGATGCAACGTCCCAGCAATTCCAGGAACAGCTGTTAAAAATTGACCACTGTCTGGAAAATCTGCCAGCTCCTGCCCCAACATCTTGCTCCTGGTGGATTTCAACTCGAGGCACCTAAAATGGAGGAATATAGCAGATTATGTTGTTGCAGTGATAACACCAGGAGGCAGCTCTGACAAGAACTCACACACAGACGAGCTTTTAAATCTCTGCACAAAATTCAACTTAAACCAGCAAATAATAGAGCCTACTAGACTGGAGAATACACTAGACCTCTTCTTCACTAACAATGATGATCTGATACGAAATGTCACCATATCAAAAACAATATACTCAGATCACAACAAAATCGAGGTTCAGACATGTATGCGTGGAACCCCAGACCGACATAATGAGATTAGTCACGAGGGAGCCTTCACCAAATTCAACTTCAATAACAAGAACTTAAAGTGGGACCAAGTAAACCAAGTCCTAAACAATATAAGCTGGGAAGATAGACTAAGCAACACAGACCCCAACTTATGCTTAGAACAGATTAACTTGGTGGCACTCGATGTATGCTCAAGGCTTATTCCTTTAAGAAAAAGGAGTAGATGTAAAATAGAAAGAGACAGGTGCTCCCTTTACAGGCAATGGAAAAGAATAACAGAGCGGCTAAAAGAGGCCAATATATCTGAAATGCGTAGGGAGTCGCTGGTCAGAGAAATAGCAAACATTGAACTTAAGCTAAATGAAGCTTATAGGAGTCAGGAATCGCAGGAAGAACTAAAAGCCATAAATGAAATCAAAAGAAACCCAAAGTATTTCTTTTCTTATGCCAAATCGAAGTGGAGAATAACATCCAGTATTGGGCCACTACTTAAACAAGATGGGTCCTACACAGATGACAGCAAGGAAATGAGTGAGCTACTCAAGTCCCAATATGACTCAGTTTTTAGCAAACCGCTAACCAGACTGAGAGTCAAAGATCAAAATGAATTTTTTATGAGAGAGCCACAGAATCTGGTTAACACAAGCCTATCTGATGTTATCCTGACGCCAAATGACTTCGAACAGGCAATAAATGACATGCCCGTGCACTCTGCCCCAGGGCCAGACTCATGGAACTCTGTGTTCATCAAGAACTGCAAGAAGCCCCTATCACAAGCTTTTACCATCCTATGGAGAGGGAGCATGGACACAGGGGTCGTACCACAGTTACTAAAAGCAACAGATATAGCCCCACTCCACAAAGGGGGCAGTAAAGCAATAGCAAAGAACTACAGACCGTTTAGCATTAACATCCCATATCATAAAAATCTTTGAAAGGGTCCTAAGAAGCAAGATTGCCACCCAACTAGATACCCATCAATTACACAACCCAGGGCAACATGGGTTTAGAGCAGGTTGCTCCTGTTTGTCTCAACTACTGGATCACTACGACAAGGTCCTAGATGCACTAGAAGACAAAAAGAATGCAGATGTAATATATACAGACTTTGCAAAAGTCTTCAACAAGTGTGACAATGGCGTAATAGCGCACAAAATGCGTGCTAAAGGGATAACAGGAAAAG